GAAAAAGGAAATATATATATATATATATATATATATATAAAAACACCGTAAAGTCCCTCTGTAGGGTGGACTTGTCTGACTTCCCACGGGCATTTATCGAGCGCCTTCCACGCGTCCGGTGTTGTGCTGGTGTCTGGCGGCATCACACCCAGGTTAGCAGATAAGGCACCTGCTTGCCAAAGGCTTGTGTGACACAGAAGACACAGGCAGGGGAGGGCCTCGGAAGTACAAAGTGCTCCTTTGAGCCCTGTATGGGCACCCATACACTGTCCCCATACAGGGGACAGTGATTACTAGAGAGTGTCCCGGGCAACAGCCCGTCGTCAGGCTTGGGAGGGCTGATGCTGTGAGGGTGCCACGCTGAGCACCCTACCCCAACTGACCTAATGGGGGGGCTACACCAGAAGAAAGAGGGTTCCAGACAGAGGGAACAGTCTTGTGCAAAGGCAAGGAGACAGTGACTGCAGCCCAGAAATAAACGAGACGTGGCAACAGATGAGGACGAGGGCGGAGGTCAAGTGCATTCGCACCCCGATATTCATGCTGTGGCGATCCAGGGCGTCAGCACTGAAAGAGACAGGGTGCCCTAACCTCACAGAGCTCCTAGTGTTGTCTTAAAGAACAGTGTCAGTAGACATCAAAATCCACCCAAAGTGGTTTTAAAAAGCCTCCAGATGACTCTGAAATATGCCTTCACCAGGCTAAGGAGTATGGCATTAAGTGGCCCCAAAACTCACTTTCAATTGTAACATTCTGTAAAAGGGCAGCTTAGAGAAAGGAGTCAAATATCCCTGCCCTAGAAGAATCTGAAGGGCTAATGGTTTTGCAGCCCGGCCAGAGGCAGCCGACATGACTGGGGAGCCTTCCTGCCTCCCTGTTGATGGGGGCTGGGGTGAGGTGCACCAGCAGATCCATGTTCCTGAAGCCATGGGGCATGTTGGCTGTTGACAGCGCATGGTCATGTCCTTCTGCAGGCGCTGCCCACCTTAGAAGGGATCGAACATCCCCAAGGCCACACCCTGGGGGTAACCCACACCCCAGGGCTAAAGGTGGGATAGAAAAGTCTGGGCTTCAGCCTCCAATAGCGATCTGTCCAATTCATCTAAGCTCCAGAGCCTCCCATGGACCGGAGGGACCACGCTGCTGCCAGTGACCTCAGTTAGCCTCCCGAAAAGTGTTGATACCAAGTGCCCTCCCCCTTAAGCCTCCTGACTGCAAATCTCTACCCTATGACCCTGGGCGGCAGTGAACTGAGCCCTCGAATGGTGCTGCATGGACAAGCCTGGTCATTTCCATTCTCTCGTCTAAAACCAGTGCCCACGTGACGGCCCCATGAAGGAGATCTGCTCACGAGCCTCCGTGTCGCTCATAACCTCGGCATCTCTATAAACCAGAGCCCACTGCCAAACCTCTCCTACCTTAAAACCATTACAAATCTGATTGTCCTGGTCTGGAGCTCCATCAACACCACAAATGTCTTTCTTCCTCCAGGAAGCCTTCCTAGACTACCTGTTCCTGAGTGGTGAATCCAGAATTCTGGAGCACTAAAGCATCCAGCTGTTGTTAGTTTAGAAACTTTTATGTGTTTATAGATGGATATTTAAAACCACGCTTGTGGGTTTCTTTCAAGTCTATATCTGTGCATTCTCTGCCCTCAGGAATGAATGTTCTGCCTCTTCAATAAAGGAGAGAGGTGATCCCCCTAGATCAAGGTCTTCTTTCATCTGTGTCCCCCCCACTCCCTCTGCTTGTCAGCCACTTGGCTACCCACAGAAGTGGCCAGTGAGAGAGTCTGACGACAACCCTGTAACGCGACAGGAAGTATAGCAACCTAGTTCTAGCTCTTTATTCCCATCAAAGTCCCAGAGGCATTGTCTCTCTAGAACCTTGGGGGGCAGGCAGAACAGCCATCACTGTCTCCCATTTATAAATGACGATACCGAGGCCAGAGAGGGGAAGTACCTTCCTCAAGGACACTCAGCCTGCAAAGTGGTAGAGGCCGGGTTAGAGCCCAGCCTCCCTCCCGACTGCCAGCCCGCACCACCTGCCACCCTGTGTGGTGGGGCGAGCCCAGGACGGGTGAGGCTGGCAGCATGTGGGAGCTCGGGATCTGGTCTGCAGCCGAGCTGCATGTCCTCCTGGTAGGCGAGGAGCCCACACCCCCGCCCCCAGAGGCTTTGAAGATGCTGACAGGCCCTGTGGGGGCACTCCAACTGCCACCCTTTCCCCAAATGGTCATGTGCAAGGTGTCCTTTCAGCAGACACAGTCCCCAGGGAGGCCTGGGGAGCTCTGGCTGCAGGAGGAAGCTGCAGAGTCCTCCAAAGACACAGCCAGCAGCTAGTCCTATCTGCTAGCAACAGGAATGTGCCAGACTCACAGGACTTCATCCTGCACTCAGCAAATGCTCCAGCCCCTCCTGACCTCACCCAGGCCCTGGGGGACCGTGGGGGAGGGGGAGCGCTTACAAGGGTCATAGCTGATTAGGCTTCTTGAACCATGAGCAGGGTGGTGGGATGCTCCATCAGGACCAGTCTCTGGCAGGAGGCCTGGGAGCGGGGGCATCAGCAGTGGTTTGTGGGGGGTCTTCAAAGCAGGTTCTGAGAGCTCACAGGACCCAGGCCTGCTGCAGTGAGACCACCCCAGGCTCCGTGGCCAGCTCCGAGCTTGAATGAGGTGCCTCTCTTGTATTGGGGATGTGAAGGGCAGGGCAGGGGTGTCGATAAGAATAAACACTTGGGCAGCACGGACCCCGTGCCAGGCTCTGCCCCAGCACTTTACATGCTAGGTACTAGCCCACTGAGCCTCACGGCAACCCCAAGAGGCAGATGTCTTATGTCCTTGTGCAGGTGAGAAGACAGGGAAGGGGGTGGGATCACTTGCCCCAGAGACGACCTAGCAGGGATGAGGCAGGGCCCAGACCCGGCACTCCAGAACAGTCTGCACTGCCAGACTCAGTGCTGCCCCCCTTCAAGTGTTTTGGGGGTGAGGGGGGATCTGCCCGAAAATTCGATCTCTACCCCCACTTGAAGGACCAGGAAGGGATGTCCTGTCCCCCACCCCTCAATCACACTTGCATTAGGAAACGATTTGGAAGACAATGTCCAGGTCAGAGTCCCAAGCAAAAGCCCCTCTGGGACCTCTGGACCAGGGCGGGGTGGGGCTGGTGGACTCTGGACCTGGAAGGAAAGCACATCCTCTCACCAGACCTGGCCAGTCTGCAGCACTGCAGCCTCGAAGCCAGGACCTTCAGGGCAGCGCAGCCTGGGACCTCGCTGGGC